TGGTGCAAATTACTGACCTCTGTCATCATTTTAGGTGGGGGAACTTGCACAATCGGTGGCTGACTAAATACTTTTTTGCCCCACTGTATATGTTGACCTATAATTAGCTTAGATGGTTTTTAAGCAATGGTTTAATTACTGCAGCTTTTTTTCTTGTGGAGTAGCAAACTCATTTTCCAGGTTAAATGAAGATTTTCTAAATTAGTGAGACACCCTTTCCTCTCTAGCTTATAGTTCATCTGCTTTAAGGTGCATGTTTGAGAGTTATACTAGAGAGTCAAGTACTTTTGATTTTTTAAGAGGTGTCACAGTATTCAGAGTCATACGCAATGACATGTAATACTATTAACAAAATAATCGACCTCGATGGGAGCACAGTTCAGGTAGTTGCTCTTCACTGTGTTGTCCCATGTGATGTAAAAGCTCCTTTCCCATTTCTGATTTGATAGTTTTTGTCTTCTTTCTTCTTCTTTTTTTTTTGCATATATATCACATTTAAATCATCATTAAACACAATTTATTATTTGATGCATGCTCAATCATCCAGGTAAGTAAATCTCCAAAAGTTGATTCTGTTCATCTGAATGTAGCGTTTTCAGTGGGAGAAACGTTTCGTCACTCATCCAAGTGACTTCTTCAGTCTCAGCTGACTGCAGGTTTCATCCAACCTTGTAAACAGTGCATTTGCATTATGACTGAAACTAGCACCACTGAAGGAACAATGGGCTGGGAAGTCAGTTCCTTCATCATCATGCAAATTCTCATGACCATTGATCAAAGACCACTGATCAATGGCCATGAGTACCATTCACAGAGAGTTGGGGAATGGCTGCAATCACAGCATTGTAAGATGGCGAAAGATGTAGTGATGTGTTGGTTGCGAACGAAATGGCTGTTAGAGCCAGACCTTTGACGTGAACGACGTGAGCCAGCTCCTCATCGCGAGCCGTGGGTTGTTGTTTTTTTTTTCTTTCTTTCTCTCACCCTTCCTCTCACACTTTTTTTCCGCTTCACTCCGCATGCGAGCCTTGTGTTTTGCGCTGGGAAGAGGGGGGAGGGGCGGTAGTTACACTTGCAGTAGCACAGGAACAGAGGGGGAGGGAGAGAGAGAAAGAGAGCCAGGGACAACAACGTTACATTAGAAAGGTATAATAATCCACGTACTCATATGTGTGGGTTACATAGAGAGCAAACAGAAGCATTCTAGCTTTTCAAATGGAAACCTACAACACATACGTTAACACCCGCCGGCCAGGCTTCTACCTTTCTACCTTTAAAAACCCGCCTTCCAGCCAAATGGCTGGTAGGCTTTTAGCTA